TAAGATTATCAGGACAAGGGATACCGAACCAAGCAAGGACAATAAATAATTTCTTGCATCCAGAGAGTGAAAGTAGGAAGGACATTTTGGTCTTCACAATTACTTTTTTTTATTCATTAAAAAGACACTTACTAGGATTTGAACCACGACCACTTTAAAGAAAAGCAAATATCATAACCAACATAGGCGGAGCCAGCCTATATTGCCCTTGTCCCAGGACAGGGGTAATATTTGGCTGGTAAAAAATACCCTATATATATATGTACGCAACATCTACAAGTAATATAATTAAGGATATTTTATTACTACATCGCAGTTCATTACTTGTTTAATAATTGATAAAAATAGTTAATTTATTTCTTCCATTCATACTAATTATTTGATAATAGCTTGTTGGGTATTATCATGATGTTATGAGATTTCATTAATTGAAAGAAATTGATGAATTATCTCAAATAATGATGAAGACAAAAGTACGTAAGTCATATCCGTCAGTTTATTTGCTTCTGAAACTAGTTTTGATTCTACCTGTTGCAACTGTAAGTGTAGAAATAACATTTTTAGCTTGAACTATACTAATATCAAGTTTCGAAGTCGAATTTGTGACCAGTTTGCTAATGAAAATGCGTCATAGTTGTTTATGCAAACATCAATTGTATTAGTCGATTAATTCTTTATTTATATTAATTATTAATTATATTTTTATATTTTAAAAAGAGGACAGGGGTAGTTTCAAATCCTGCCTCCGCCACTGATAACCAATCACAATAAGTACATTTGTTGTATCTTTTTAAATTAAAACATATAATCGCAGAGAAGAAAAAACTCTTCCCCCATTTCAAATTCCCTGCTCCAGGAGCGTTTGGAGGAAAGGTAGAATAGGGAGTGTCAATTTTTTTCTTTTTCCTCTGTGGAACGGGCCAACTTACCGTATACATGCGGATTTAAACGGGTCCAGGAGTGTCAGTTTTTTCTTAAGTCCATTTATTTCGCCGTGGTAGTAAAATATATATGAAAAGGCAAAAACAATACTCCTTTTTATTGCTAAAAAGAAAAAAATTTAACAATAAACTAATGCATAAATTCTAATGGGCTAACCGCTAATAATAAAATAAAAGAGTTGAATGGGCCTGACCTACACGGGATTTGCCCATTAAGTAAAACAAATGAACATCATGGGTTTGTCATTCTAAAACAAGCTATTTTCTCTAGCATAATATATATTATGCTATCATTTTATATCTTAGTGGCTAAAATATGATGTATTTTAAAGTTATTCAATGGTTCAACCTCGACCAACCCAATTAGTCCAATTTTTATCATTTCAAATATATATTAAGTAATTATTTGATATCATAATGATTAAATTATAGTGTATAATATAGGGAATCGTTTGCTATTTGTTAGTAAACTAAACAGAAAGATCTATTGGTTATTTTTAATATTAAAACGATCCTAAACATTTTCAGTTTCTTTTCGAAATTCTATAGTTTTATTCCCGAATCAGTGATGTGCAAATGGCGAATTGCAGTCATCTCTTTTCTTTCATTATTTTTTATTTTCAAATAGAAAGTTTAAAAGTAAAGAATAATTAGAGTTTGGCATGAATCGGTCAAAGAGGCTGAATTTCAAATTTTGGCCCATTTTGATCAAGTCTAATTTATAATCACATGGTTCCCTAATACCCGATAAAAATCTCAATTCAAACCAGTTTGGCAGGTGAGTCCGTGTTTACCCCCATTTTCTAGGGATACAGTAACGGTGGTTCCTATCCCAAATCGTGTTGTTCATTCTTGATTTCTTTAGATTTTATCATGGCTTGGCAAAAACCAGAAAGCACAATGATGACAAGATGAAAGTTTTATAAAGCAAATTAATTGACCAACGGGTCGAGTAAAAGCTAGTAATGATTGTGAGATGCTCATTTCCCAAAAACCGGCGGGATAGGCGATTTTTTATTCGATTTTATGGAATTCGGTTTCTATAAAACTTACTCCACCTCATCATATTACCAGAAACAATATTGTTTCACAAGGTAACAGGTACTTGATTTTGTTTCATAAGGCTGATTTTTGATTCATTGCATCGTTCATGTCCCTTTCCTACTAAAATTCAATATTTTTATTAGGGCTGGTATTCGGTAACCGGTATTCGGTATAACCGGGTATCGAACCGATTACAATCGGTATTCGGTATACCGAATACCGGCGGTATCGGTATTCGGCTGCCATTTTCGGACAAACGGTATACCGAATACCGATTGGTTATATACCGACGGTAAATCGGTATACCGAATACCGAATTACAAAAAAAAAAAAAAAGAGGAAAACGCAGCGCAGCGCTGTAGTGGAATTGGGGAAGGGGAACCCTAATTCCCTAAATGGCTTTTGCATCTGATCCCCGCGGCCCGCCCTCCAGCCTCCACCTCGTCTGTCGCTGTTCCTCTCCAAGACTCCATCCGCCTCCTCAGTCGACAGTCGAAACCCAACCGCCCCAGTCGAAACCCAGCGGCCAGCGGCGAGCCCCTGCACCCTGCGCCGAAGGTCGGAAGCGGGAAGGCGGCGAGCCCCTGCACCCAGCGCTGGCAGCCAGCTTGCCGCGACGCCGTGCTCCACCACCACGCGTCGTCTGTGTTCCCCTTCGCCAGCAGCAGTCGCGACTCGCCAGCGCCGAGCCCTGTCTTCCACTCTTCCTCTTCTCTTCACTTCGCCATCGCCCAGCAGGCAGGGGCAGCAGGCCAGCAGCAGTTCCCGACTCCCCGTGTGTCGTGTCTGTCTTCCTCTTCACTTCTCGAGGGCAGAGAGTATCTGCTGGTAATTAAAGGCCCATTTCCTCCCCATTCTCAGTTAATGATTCTCAATGCATTAACCGGTATTCGGTATACCGGTATTAATACCGGATACCGACTATTCGGTATTCGGTATACCGGATAACATTCGGTATCGGTATTCGGTGGGTACACAATGTTATCCGGTATACCGGATACCGACTATTCGGTATCCGGTATACCGGATACCGACCGATTACCAGCCCTAATTTTTATCACGTGTTTCCCAAAAAAAAAGATACAACAATTAGCTATACACCCCATTACATTATCAAATTTCATACCTCACCTTCCTCCGCCCAAATGGTCGGGGCCACGCTAGTTTATAAGAATATGGACGAACTATTGGGATGAATAGCTTTGAAGAGCTATAATGAAATTCCTAATTAATTATATATCCAGTATTTTTCCTATAATACAAAATTAAGATGGATAATTAATAAAAGGAATATTATGGAGATAATTAGGAATAATTATCTTAATAGATTATATTTTAATTATGTGAGTAATTATCTCCCTAATTAAAATGTGACTTATTCCCAAAGAAAGAGGGAATATTCTGGGTTTTCTGCTCCTATAAATAGGAGACGCTCCAGGCCCTCTAAACACACCTCAGAGAGCAGAAACACGAGAGAGAGTGAATTCATAGAGCTCCGGTTTTTCGCACAAAACCGATGAGCAACAAAATTAGAATGACTGTTTTATCTCGGAGGCGACCGGCTGATAGTCTGCTGTGCACAATACGAGGCAATGCCACGAATGTTTTAAAGAGAACGACCTAGTCCGCGACTTAACCAGATCGGTAACCCTAATTTTTCTTTTCGGTTTCTATCACGGACCCGTAGACACAATAAGGGAAAGAAACTCATGGTTTGCGAATCACTGCCTGAAGCCGAGTTAGTAACTCACCCACATGAATTATTTGAATTATTTGAGGCTCGTAGACGTGAGGAGGAATAGGATGATGGCTGGCTTTCCGAATAACCACCACACCAGCCGCACCTAGCACAGACACAAAAGAGAGAGTGCTTCATGGGAGGCAGGCAGGCAGACCATGTTATTATATTTGTAACAAATCGTCACCAAGCTAAATAATTGTCAATAACATGTGCTTCTTTGAACACTCACAGTTTGATATGCACCCCAAAATAACATCTTCACTTTTTTTTAGTGAATGATAGTTATTCATTTCATCAAAAGAGGAATATCGCGGCAACAACCCCTGTCAGTTTAGTATGTAATCGTAGAACACTCTTTCATTGGAAGTTCGATTATTGATCGAGTTTCATACGTGGTTATCTTCTGTTCTCTAACTATGTGTTTGAATGTTCATCGTTTAACTATGTTAAAAAAAAAGCAAACACCATACTGAATTACTAATCCTCAAATTTTCTTTAATTTTGATCCCAATTTTATCTCAATTCCATCCAATTGAACAAGGGTTATAGGTATAATATGCCCCTCTACTATGACGTTTTATCAAACATGCCTCTCTACTATTTTTTACATCAAACATGCCCCTATACTTTGAAAAAATTATCAAACATGCCCTTCTATTAAGATTTTCATTGATAAAATCGTTAATCATGGTTGAATCGAGATTTAGACGACCCGACATCGGCAAATGGGAGCGAAAATGTCAGTTTTGTCTCCCGTTTTATTTCTCTGGGTCTCTTCAAAGTGAAATTATTTGAATTATTTGGCTATACGAAAGAACAAAAAAAATTCTAAAGTGAAATTATTAGGGATATTTTAGACATTTGTGCCACCCAAACCAAATATCGACCTTGGTTAACGGTTTTTGGATGAAAATTTAAACAAAAGGGCATGTTTGATATTTTTACAAAGTACATGGACATTTTTTATATAAAAAAAAGTATAAGGGCATATTTGATAAAACATCATAGTAGAGGGCCATATTATACCTATAACCCATTGAACAACGCCCACCCTTAAAAGCAACCCACGCTGCATGAGAAAGATTCATCGAGCTAACCTTTCACTTGGGCCATTCATTCCTCATTGGCAGCACTATATTAAGCACACAGGCCCATTATAGACTTAGTCGAAACTCGAAACATGGGCTTACAAATATTCGAATCAATTATACCGTAACTGAACCGCGAAAAGTTGCTCTCTATCGTTTCCAATTTGTTTGCTATTTGTAGTCTCTATCTCCTCCTCCTAGTTTGATCGTTAATCTCTCAATCCTTTCTTCTCCAAATTTCTTTAAGCAGAAACCCTCTAGGCCGGAAACTGGAACGAAAACGAATTTAGTCGCGGAGGTACTTATCAGTTTCTTTCTCTATACTTTCAATTTCAGAGTCTGGAAGGTTTTGACGGTCCAATCGCAGGCTCTCTTGATTTGTGTTGTAGCAATTAGAACGAGGGGTTATAGGAAGACTTTTTCAGATTGCGCGTTAGGATGGCCCATTTGTTTCAGATTGTGGGTTTCTGTCTCTCGTCGGTCTAAGTCAATCAACTTCGGTTGATTCGCTGACTGTGCGTGCATTCATGAGCTCGTACGTATCCAATAACCGTATTATGCATTTCGTTGCTGGATACTGGATATTAAGGGTTAGCCTAATGGTGGTGGAAGTAGTGTTAATACTGGCTGGAAATGCTTTTCATTGTATGTTTTGTCAAACCCGACAACTGAATGTTCCCATAGGTTGTGAAGAACGTTATCTATAATGGATGGGAAGGATTTTTGGAGTGCTCGGATGCCTGCTTCTCTTGTTGGAGAAGCTCGTGCGGTTGGGGTTGAATGGAGAGCTACATTGCAGCCAGAATCACGGGAAAGGATCGTGAATGAAATGTGAGTTCAATGGTTTAGAGCTGCTGGGTGATCATTTTTACTCTTTAAGCTTAATTTGCTTTGTGTGTTACATGTGTTCGTTCTTTTTGTAGTTTTCTGAGACAATTTGATAAACTGATATGACCTGTGAGGGAAATAATAGGTTGTGTTTGATTGTACTTCTATGAACTAAAGGGGGGGAAACTGTTCCGGAAGAGTTAACGCTACGTTCAGAAATTTGTTGGGCATAGTGCTGATGGGAAGAACGCCTTTGAAGTTTGAACACAATGATGATTTTGAATAAGGAAATGGGTAAAGATTTTGTACCTGGATAAAAACATGTATTCTGTTGGTATCTGGTAACAACTTATGATCTTCACTAGGTGACTGTATGCTGAAAAATTGCTTGGAGGGGTTGTGCATCTTGATTGGTCACTGATTATGAACACGGATAAATTATGGCATAGAGTGGATACAATAAAGAGGCATCTACATTTTTCTGGTCAAGAGGGACTACAACAACTGAAGAAAATTGCTGAACTAATTGAGGGAAAGAGCTATAATGCAGCAGCTAGTCAGGTATCCCACTTAAGGCCAGTGTTGCTTGTAACATAATTTCATGATGTCGACGTGCTTATGGAACTGTTGTGCCTATAACTGTAATCTCGGAGATAAGATAGAAGGTGCACTAACTTTATGTCATTTTTTTTTTTTTGGTTGTTTGTTCAGTCTGATTATTGGCATGAGATATCTTCGAAGATGCTCACGTTGAATAGCAAATCACAGAACTCAGTACCCAACTCTTCGACGTCCAACTCAGTTTGCACTGGCGATAAGCCCCCTGATGCAGAAGGTACTGTAAAGTTACAGTCGTTTCCTCGTATAGACTGAGATTGGTAACTTGCATGGCCTTAGCATAGTTGTTCTATCATGTCACCAGGAATGCTCATATCATCTTCAACTTCTTTGTACTCTTTATCAAATTCTGTTCTTAAAATGGGATCAAGCAATATGTTTCTGCGTGTACGTTTTGGGTTTAGGCTAATTACTGTTGGTAACTCGGTATTCATGTTTTATTGCTTTTCTAATTTGGTTACCTATTTATTCTAGTGTTGACAGCAGCGCCTAGTAAGCTCCTCCAAGAGCAGTCGCTTCTTGTACCGCCAGATAATCAACTGCAAGCAGAGCAACAGGTGTTATCTGAAAATATGGAGACCACTATAACTTCTAATGGAGGTCAAACTCCTACTAGTTTACCGACTTCATTGCCTCCTGCTTCTGGTACAAATCAGACTCCAAACAATGTCACTAGCCAGAATGCTAACAACATGCCTATTGTTACACCAAACACAGTTGGTGGTACTTTGACGGCCCAAGGGGTTCCATCGAACATGTTTGGCAATGCTCAACTACAGCTGATAGAGCTCCAAAAACAGCTGTTACAGCTTCAACAACAGCTGCTGATACAGTTACAAGGTCAGCAACAGCTGCAGCCTCAACAAAGTGTTATGAATACGACTCAACTCCATCCAGCTACACAATCCGGCATGCAAAAGTCATCTGTTTCAATGATTGGGGCTCCGATATCTAGTCTTCCACAGAATCGGCTATCCTCTGTCCGACAGTCTATCATCATGGAGCAACTACAACAGCAGCAGACTAACCATCAAAATACGTTGGGCCACCTGTTGATGGTTCAGCAGAATAACCGTTCTGGTATCCACCAGCAACAAATGGTTCCGCAAAGTAATTTCCCAGGCCTGCAACAACAGATTCCGCAACATCAGTTGCTTGGAACTCAGTATGGTAACTCAAGCATGCAGAGTAACCTTTCTAGTAACCATCAGCAACAATTGGTTCCTCAAAGTCTACAGCAGCAAATGCTGCAGCAGGGAACTCAAACCGGTAACTCTGGGATGCAGAGTAACCTTTCTGGTAAAGATCAGCAACAACCAATTCCTCTCTCAGGTCTACGGCAGCTAATGTCGAAGCAACCGCGGCTTGGAACCATGTCTGGTATCTCAAGTATGCAGAGTAACCTTTCTGGTAAGCATCAGCCACAATTTGTTTTCCCAAAGTAATTTCTCAGGTCTACAGAATTCCAGACAGCTACTTCTTTGCTATTTGCTGACATGCTCATTTACATCATCCAAAGCATCTCTACCAACTAGTTGCTCATGCGTAGTGCCTGCTGTCTGGTTTTATAGACTTGTGCTTTCATACAAGTTTCTCTACAGAACGTTTCTGATTAAAAATGTTTGTCGTTAGACGTGTAATTTCATTCGTCGACACTTTGTGCTTACTTGATCAACTTAGTATACATCTCTCAGGGATGTGCCTGTTCATTATCCCTACTAAGGATGGTTTTTGTTGTAGCATCACTAGATTCTACAGCACAAACTGGTCATGCAAACGGAGGTGGTTGGCAAGAGGAAGTCTATCAAAAGGTCAGTTCATGCTTGTTACGTTTGGATACTTAGCTTGCTTGTCCGTTCACTCCTTTGCAATGCAGGTGCCAACAGTTAAATCCACCATTTCTTTACTGATATTTTCCTCTGCAGATCCAAACCATGAAGGAAATGTACTTACCCGAGTTAAATGAAATGTACAAGCAATATGATGCAAAATTACAGCAGGTAGTTACTACTCACTTTCATATATTTTAACCAATTTCACGTCGAATACGCACCGTATCTTGAACATCGCTCACTTGCACTGTTCGAGCTCTGGCATCTATAGAGCCTAAGCACTGAGATGACTTTTGCATTAGGCATCATTTCTCTCTTAGCTTCTCCCTTACTTAGTCTTGCGCTGTGTTTAGTATTGCTAATAAGTTGGTTCTTTCCTCTCCCAGCATTGCGATTCACCTGTGCTCAAGGCGAAGCTGGAGCGCATGATATCTTTCTTACAAGTATCGAAGGACAGCCTCTTGCTCAGTTACAAGGACTGTCTTGATTCCTACGAGGAAGAGATGGCAACTCTCCTGAATTTGTATAGGCCCAGCAAGCGTATGCGACAGCTTCCCTCTCCTGACGTGCAAAAAATGTCACCGCTGTATCAGATCGATGATGCTAAGGAGATGAAACCCGACATTTCTTCTCTTCCAAATGCCGACGATGTTGTGTCATCTGTTGAACAAGCATGGTAATGCTGTGGCAAGTAGGGACACTGGGAGTTGCAGAACTCGGGGTAGTTAAAGCGATTAGTAAAACAAGAAACAGTTGTTCTCTACTTCATGAAGCAACAATAATGTTGCAATTATTTTTAGTCGGCCAGTGTTTTTTACTTTTATTTTGTGACCACGTCAGTAAAGGTATGTATGTATGTTTTGATCTTGTATATGAGAAAATAAAAATTGTTGCATTTTTTATATTAAGTTTGGGTTTGTTGCTTTTTTCCACATTTTGTTTTATTAAATTTAGGTTTAGGATTTAGGATTTGGTTTTGTAAATATATCAGTACATAAAATTAGTCTTTACGTGGGTTGGTTGGTAAGTACTAGGTCTGCAAATGAGTCGAGCTGCTCGCGAGTGGTTCGACGTTTGACTCGAGAAAAAACTCTTTCGGAACTAGACTCGTTAATAAACGAGCCGAACATGAGCTAAGTTTTGTTCAGCTCGTGAAGCTTGCGAGCTAGCTCGACTCGGTGACTTGTTGAGCTAAACTCGTGAGCTGGCTCGTTTAGAGCTCATGATATGTCTCAACATGTGGCTAGAGAGCCAACTCGATTACCGACTTATGGACGAATCAATCTATATCTTATGATTTTAATTCATATGGTTGTTAAATTATATATCTCGCCATATATAAAGTTATATAAAGTTTAACACGTTGAGTGTGTGAGCAAATATATCTTATTTATATGTTAAAAAGAAATTATGTATTATAGATTGCTTCGATACTATGAAACAATATGATTTGGAGTAGTTAAAATTTATTAACTAAATGATATATGATACCAACAAAGTATAATATGAGATTAGCTAACAGAATAAATCATATGTATCATGATATAAAAAATGAAGTACCAAATAAAAGTTAAGATTTTAGTAAACAAGCTAGCTCGAGCTCGACTCGATTCAGCTCGTTAATAAACGAGTCGAGCTCAAGCTGGGTTAAAACTCGACTCGACTCAGCTCATTTGCAGCCCTAGTAGTAAGTACTAAGCAGATGTGACAATTTGAATCCAATATAATCTATCCACTAAAAAGTCTAACTAAACAAATCCCTTTAATCCAAATTCAGTTGGATTTGTGGATTCATAAACTGAATTAATGAATTTTAAAAAATTATAATTGATACATATATATTTTATATTTTACAATTTAATATCTAAACTTCAAATTTTTAATGAAAGAAATTCTTCAAAAAATATTCTATGGTATCTAACTTTTTTTATAATGCAATTTTATTACTAACATTTTTCAAACAAAATTATAATGATTCAAAATTTAAATGTCACTTGGATGATTTTGGACACTAATATAATCCACCCAATATAAAACTTTAGTCATACAACGAGCCTATATTGTTCACTTCAAATTAGTAAATTGCTGTAACTTGATTGGCAAGAAACAAATAATTATATAAATTTCTTTTAGCCGAAACAGGCGGGGACAAAGTCAATAAAATAAAGGCAAAATACACTTGTATAGCCATAACTTTGCACTTTGTGACAATAATAGCCAAATTTTAAAAAATACACAGATATAGCCACATTTTGAAAAGTAGTTTGACAAATTTAGCCCATTTCCGTTAAAATCTTTAACACCGTTAATGAGTTTGTCAGTTAAGTGAACGTTACGCCGAGGTGGATGCCACCTTAGCTCACACATCAGCTCCAACAAGACACACCATGCCACCTGGATGCCACGTCATATTTTAATTGAAAAAATTCATAAATTAAATTTATTAAATTTATTTTATTTAAAAAATTCATTAGTACGGAGATCTCTTATTCGCTTCCCTTCCCTCTTCCTTTCTTTTCCCTCTCTCTCAAATCTCCGGCCATATCTACAAATACAATGCATCCCCGCCGTTGCCATTTTGTTGTTGTCGCAGAAGTCGTCCGTCTCAACTACCACCAGTGTTGCCGCTCGCATCCTCAGAACCCGATCATGGCGCCGGAATCGGCATCGGCTCCTACGCTCATCCTTCAATTTCTCTTCCCCGAACACCTTTCATCTTCCCCGTCGACAAGAAGGAGCGACGGGAGGCAAGTAGCATAGAAGGCAGCTGGCTACGAGGGGAACCACGAGGAAGATCGGCGCTGTCTTCGGCCTTCTTCAACGACGATGGGTGACCATTCATAGGGTCTTGCGGTGGTGGATTTTGAAATCCCCAATCTAGGAACCCTAATTGTTCCGTCGAGAAATCCCTAATCTGCCAATCATAATTGCTTCGTTTGTGTCTATGGTTCTAGTTTGAGTAACGATCGCTAAAAAATTGACCTCGCCATTTACGACCTCCAAACCTGCCATCAATTTTTCATCTCCCTCCTCGACGGCGGGGCCAATCTCCCGAGCATATCAGTTCACCAACTCTGCGTCGCCCGCGACTAGTTGTGCAGCGAGTTGAGCTGGGATACTTGTTCGTAGTGCTAAGAAGGGTTCACGGCGGCGGTGATTGATTTCCTAGAGCTAGAGGGGAGGGAAGGGAAGGTTTTGCGACGGCGATGGCGATGGAAGGGGTACACAGAGAGAGTTGGAGGAAGGTGAAAAGGTGCGGTGGAGAGATGATGTTCTTTTAACTTTTTTATTTAATTTAATTAAAACAGAAGGAAAGAAATATAAATAGGCTATTATATTGTTGCCATTGGCGGGGTGGACAAAAAAGATGCCACATCAACTAAATCGTTAGTCTAGTCAGCTTTTTATTAAAGTTATTAACGGAATGGCTATTTTAGTGTATTTATCAAAATTTGGCTATTATTATCACAAAGTGCAAAGTTATGGCTATGTGTATTTTGCCTAAAATAAAAGGATTTTTTTTTTTGAAAGGAATAAAATAAAAAGGATTACCGTAACTGAACCCGCGAAAATTTCTCTGATTGCCCCTCTCTCTCTAAATTCCAACCGTTTGCCCTCTCTAGGTTGATCGTTGATCTCGACACTGTTCTCTGCAAATTTCTCCCAGCGAAACCGCCTTGACGCCGGACCTGGAACGAACGCCGTCTAGTCGGTATTGATCAGCTTCTCTACAAGTCCGATTTCGTAGCGGTTAATCTTGTCTGTCGAATCGCAAGCTTTCGTCACAGTATCGTAGTAGATCAACGAGGGAAATCTAGGTTTTCATGCTTTGAAGTCCTCATTGGTGTCGATTTTTCCCACTTTTCTAAGGCAATCGGTTCTTTAACTGATACGGCTACTAGTTACTTGCTAACTGAGCACCGGAAGCATATTCTACGTTCGTCGTCGTACCGACGGCGTAGTGCTAACATATAGTAGTAGTAGTGGATGAAGTTGATTGTTCCATGTTCAGGTTTATTTCCTATTGGTGGTATTGGTTTCTCAAAGTGTGCTTGGAAGGGGAGTTTGTACGAGTGATTGTTTACGAATGTGAATTTTCTTTTTTGGTTGTGGTTTGTGCAGAGGACGTAATCTAGAATGACCAGCAATAACTTGACGCCTGCTGCTCCCGTGGATGAGGGTGACTGGAGAGCTACATTGAATGCGGACCTGCGGCCAAGAAACGTGGAGAAAATGTGAGTTGAATATCTTCGCGTTGTCGAACAATCAATTTTGGTATCTGGACTTTGTTTTGTGCTTTTGGTTCTTACTACTAGGGGTGGGCAAGCGGTACAGTTAAACCACACCGCACCGCATTGACACAAATCGCACCGCACTGCATACGTGATCGCATTTTAATTGGTGCCATCGAACCGCCCTGCATGAATAGGAGGTTTGGTGCGATTTGAATAGCACCGCATCTTAGACCGCAAGTCAATGACTATGCATGACTGTTTATGCATTTTATACTGTAGTTGTAGTTCTTTCTTATATCCATTTATTAGTAGAAGAAGATAACATGGCAATTAGAATTGTTGGATTGTATTATATGCATATTATAAGTAGTTACCGTTAACAGAAAAGTTGGGCTTTCAAGGTTTTAGACAAGAGATTGGTGGATTATTAACTTCATTGATCCCATTGAGCTAAGTAGTGTTTTCTCCCTTGAAATTACCAGCAAACGATATAGTAACCTTTATCATGAAAAGAAACAGTAGCTACTGCATTTTTTCAAACCAGTTCTCAACTATAAACAACCACAACCCCCTGGAAAGCTTAGCTTATTTATTTCCCTTAGGTTTATTTCGCGTCTGTTTAGAAACTACCCTTTCTAACAAGCCACTAGAAACCTTAGCATGTTAGTTATATTGTGGGAAGGTAATGCTCATAGAATTTGCTCTTGAGCTCCCTTGATTGTGATCCTGCTTCATACGTTGACTTGTGTTTTGATGCATGAAAAGTTAATTCCCATCAACTATTGCAGGCCGATATTTGAAACATGCTAAAGTTTCTAGTGGCTGTTAGAAAGGGTAGTTTCTAATTTCAGTTGTGATGTATGCTAAGATATTTAAACATGAAACATGAAAGGACATTAAAATAGTGAAACCAAAGGCTAAAAAGAGCAAGAAAGGGATACTAGTGAAACGAAATTAAAAATGATGCAATATAAAGCCCAAAGAGAACATGAAACTGAAAATGGTAATAATTGGGTTTGTGATGTATGATGGGGGATACAAACCCTTATTCCCAAGGTGTCAGGAAAAGCATTTTACCATCAGACTAGAAGGAAAGACATGTATTATTTATGCCTACAGATAAAGATTTCCCATGGCCCCCCAGCCCATGAGCTACCTCCGCCTCTGGTGTTAATGGTAGGTTATCTTGGTACACAAGTATGAATTAAGGAAATGACTATTGGTTTCCTCAGAGCTACTACATGTTCGTGAATTGTTCGAGGTGTTTTGCCTCTTGCTTAGTTGCTTCTGTTGTAACTATGTACGACTTATCGATCCTCATGGCCATTAACTATGAACGTTGTTGACTTGTTGCACAGATTCGAGGCATTAAAGAGGGATCTACAATTTTCTGGTCCAGAAGGGGTTCAAGAACTGAAGATAATTGCTGAATTGTTTGAGGAAAAGATGTATGCTGCTGCAACTAGTGAGGTACCTCTCTTCAAGGGTAGTAACGTTTGTAGCACAAGTTCATAAAGTCGCGAGTCTATGAAAGATGGGAATTTTGTGCAGGCAACTGTATCTCAAAGATAAGATCGAGGGTGCACTAGTTTTATGTCATTTCTGTTTTTTGTTGGTTTTTGCAGTCTGATTATTTGCACAAGATATCTTTGAAGACGCTCCCAGTGAAGCAAACATCACCGTTTTCTGTACCTAGTTCTTTGCTGTCTAAATCATCTGGCACTGACAATGAGCCCACTGGTCCAGGAGGTACTACAGTGCCGAAGTGCTTTCTTACTCCATGCTGTGATTGTTAACTTGCTTGGCCTTTTACTTCTACTGCATAGTTGTTGCGTCATGACAGAGAGAATGCTAAATCCTCTTCAAGTAAATTTTGGGGTTAGGCTAATTAGTGTGGTTGTTTCTCTAATTTGGTTTCTTGTGTATTTCCTGTCTTGACCAGCATCACCTAGTATGCAGCCCCAAGTTCATAACCAAGGGCTGTCACTTCCCACACTGCTACCCACTAATCAAACTCAGACATACCAACCGTTTTTAAATCGTAACTTGCGGAGCACTATATCTTCTACTGGAGTTCAGACATCTGCTAGTCTACCATCCTCATTGACTTCTGGTTCTGGTATGAATCAGACTCCAATCAATGTTGTTGGCCAGAATGCTAGCATGCAGAACAACTTGTCTAATGTTGCACAAAACCCAAGCTCTTTGGTGGAATACCAAAATGTGATTGATCAGCAGAAGCAGTTATATCAATCACAAGGAGTACTTTCGGAGACATCGTCAAGTATGTTTCTGAGTCTTTCCTCTCGGTTTAATCTAATATGTCAGAAAAAGTTGTGTGACATGACCAACCTGCTATATCCCTGAGGGACGTGCCAGATAATTATCCTTGCTAATTTCTTTTCGTTGTGTACTGCCTCTAGATTCTACGGTGCAAACTGATGAGACAAATGGAGTTGATTGGCGAGAGGAAGTCTATCAAAAGGTTTTTCATGCCGTTATATAGGCACACTTTATTCCTTTGCATTCAAATGCTGACTACTCTGTACTAATTTTTCCTTTGCAGATCAAAACCATGGAGGATATGTACTTACCCGAGTTAAATGAAATGCGCCAGAAATTTGATGCAAAGCTGCAGGAGGTAGCTTTTAACTTTTGATATATGTTAACCAATATTGCATCTATTGGTCGCTGTTGGTTCAACAGTATTTCAGTTGTTTTTCATTTGTCCTTTAATCATTTGCACGTATTTGCACATCCAATCACGTTTAACACCTATAGAGCCTAACAATGAGAGAGATTTGCATTAGGCATGGTGCTCTTTGATTTCGGTGCATTATGTGTTCATTACTTTGTTCACAGTTCCTGCATTCAATTTTGATTTCTTATTCTCATAGTTTATGCATTTATTACTTTATACATGTCTTCGATCATGTATGCTGCCCCTTAAAACTAAGAAATCTAGACAACTTCTCTTTTGTACCGTATGTCCACTTCTTGATGCAATTCTCCGAGGCTGATAAATTGTTCTGTTCTCTCCGGTATGATTCTCTTCCACAGCAACCTAAGACAGGCCAGCTTGAAAAGTTAAAGATGTTTAAGATTATGGTGGATCGCATGTTATCTTTCTTACAAGTATCGAAAGACGACGTCCAAGTCAGCTTCAAGGATAAGTTAATTTCCTACGAGAGACAGATAATAACTTTTCTGAACGTGAATCGGCCCAGGAAGCCAATGCCTCCGATGCAGCAAGGGCAACTTCCATCTTCTCACATGCAATCGTTACAACAACCTTTGTCCCAAATCACTCAAGCACAGTTCCATGAAAATCAAATGATCCCCATGACCATGCATGGTTCTGTATCAGCAATGCAGCAGAACAATAATATGATGAACTCTATGCAGACAGATTCTATGGCCTCACTTCAGCAGGGTGCTATGGGGTCTCTACAACAGAACCCTATTTCTTCCCCGCCGGCAAGTCTCAGCTCCGTGCCTTCACAAAATGGGTTAACTACGTTGCAGACAAGCCTTCCTCTTCAGACAAACCCAAACAATATGCTTCATCAATACCAGCATCAGCTGCAGCCGTATCAACAGATTCAGAAACCATTGATGCAGCAGGGTATGCTTCAACAGCAGCAGTGGCATCAACAATGTTCACAACTACTCACACTACATCAGAAAGCAAGGGAGCAACAAGAAATGCTACAGCTACATCAGGTCGCTGGTGTTAATGAGGTGAAGCCGAACATTTCTTCTCTTCCAAATGTTAATGCCGTCGCAGTGCCGAGCATCGGACAACCACCGCAAGAATCTCTTGCCATTGGCACTACTCGTGTTGTTGTTCCCGACTATGGCGCTCGTGGTAACGATGCTTTGGCAACTGGCAAGTCAACTGTTGCAGAGCAGCAGTCACCTGATGGTGCTCAGGTCAGTCATTCTTTTTGAATTCTCTCCCCTCCCCCCTCCGTGGAAATCTGAAAACAACCATTTTGCAGTGTTTGATTGAGTTGAGGTTTCTTGTCGATTCATTTTCTAGTATGTGAAAAAAAAAATAACTGAATGAGTGTTGTTTAGGTGAATGTGGAAGCGGATTATCAAGCTAGGCTGTCGTCTATTTTCGCCCGATTTCAGGGGGAGGTAAGTTGTGGTATTGGTGGTGGTTTATTTACCGTTATAATGCTGGAATGTTTTTTTTTTTTTGGTCAAATTTAGAGGTATCAATTCAGTCATAACAAGAAGAAAGTAAAGCGCGGGAATCGACTAATCGCCGAACCCCCGATGAAAGGGCTTTAATTGCCACAAGATGGGCAGCCCTATTAAGTCGACGTGAGACAAAACAGAATGAAATCCAGTTAAGCTGAGACGCCAATGCCCTTGCATCTTCTAGAACTGCACCACTCCGATCATGTGCCAAGTCATTCCTCGCCATCCGATGCATCAATTGTTGAGAATCACCATGTAATTTCACATGTAAGAAACCATGTGTTAAACACCAATGTAAAGCGTCTCGGAGGGCCAAGCATTCCATGACAAAGGGATCACATAAACCAGCATATGACTTGCCAAATGCAAAGAGGATCGTACCTGAGCCTTGGAAACCAACGAAACCTATACCACCGCCTAGACCCCGTTTCGCCGCTCCGTCAACCCAAACATTAATGGGGGTAGGAAGAATTGCAGTCCCTGTCGCTTCCGAATTCCCAAGGCCGGCTGGAGATAGGCGCGGGACGTGAGTGCCCTGGTGGCTTGGCGGTCTGATCTGCTCCGCATCCCGCCATTCAGTCACTTGGTGTTGAAGTTGTCGATATAGCGCCGGGGGTAAGTACTGGGTCAGAGCATGGACTGACCAGCAGCGAGCCTTCCAAATGCGCCATAAGACGAAAACCACAAAAGCTATGTCACTTTTGGATAGGTTCCGACCGAAGAATAGATGCTTCCAAGCATCTCCCGGGGGTAACGCACCAAGAGCAACTCGTAGTTCTTCACATTCAGCTAGCCGCCAAAGGTCCCTAGCAACCCTGCACTCAAAAAAGAAGTGGGTGAAGGACTCCGGTTCTGCGTCACAAATCGGACAAACCGTGTCCTCGACCAGGGTCTTAGTAAAAAGCACTGATTTCAATGGTAAGAAGCCCCGGACAACTCGCCAGAAGAAAAACTTCAGCTTCGGTGGCAACGGTAGACTCCAAAGCAATTTCCAAAACCGAGTATCAAACGGGAGGGCGTCTGGTGAGTGAAGACTATTATGCTCCAACGAGAGTAGGTGATAACCTGTCTTAACAGTAAATACTCCAGAAGGTGAATAATGCCAAATTAATCTGTCATTCATAAGAAAGCAGGGAAGAGGAATAGACAGAATAAGATCCACACATGAAGAAGTAAATAGAGTTTCCAAAAGTTCCTTATTCCACACGTGGGACTCATGGCAAATTAGATCAACTACAAAGATGGGACAAGCTGGCGCACCTGGCTTCAAAACTGGACATGATGGAGGGGTGGATGGGAGCCAAATATCTTGGAGTACCCGGATCCTTTTGCCATTCCCAACCTGCCAGCGTAGACCCCTCTTAAGTAGCTTTTGCCCTTCCAAAATACCTTGCCAAGCCCAGGAAGGTCGGGACCCTGCTGTTGCTTCCAAAAAATCCACATTAGGATGATAGCGCGCCTTGTAGATTTGTGCAAGGTGGCTGGTGGGATTATGAAGAATGCGCCACGCTTGTTTCGCCAGTAATGCAATGTTGAACCTGTTAAAGTCTCGAAATCCAAGTCCACCAGAAAATTTGCTCTGGCAGAGGGCAGCCCACGAAATCCAATGAATGCCTCTTTCCTTGTCCTGCCCTGCCCACCAGTATTTTGAAAGCTGGCCATTACATCGACGACATGTTTCCTGAGGAAGACGAAATGCCGACATAGCATAAATAGGCCCTGCTGCCCCTATAGCCTTAATTACCACTTCCTTCCCTGCTAATGATAGTGATTTCGCCTTCCAATTCCGGATGCGAGCAGCTAGTTCCTCTTCAATAAACTGGAAAGTCAAAGACTTGGAGCGACCGATTTGAGAGGGCCGCCCAAGATATTTATCCTCCGCCTGCAAAACATTAACCCCTAGGAAAGAGCTAATAGCTTGTAATTCCTGATTAGAAACATTACCACTCACACAAACCGCAGACTTGTTTAGATTTACTCGCTGCCCACTAACTAGTTCGTAGTCAGCTAGAAACTGAAGGAGTGCGGCACATTCAGGAATAGAGGCTCTAAGAAAGAGGTAGGAGTCGTCTGCGAAAAACAAGTGAGATAATGGAGGGGCAGACCTGTGTATTCTTAAGTCATGGAGGGAAGAAGAGGCTACCTCTTGCGAGATCTTTGCAGCAAAGGCTTCAGTATAGATAGCGAACAGCAATGGAGATAGAGGGTCTCCTTGTCGTATACCTCGTTGGGGTTGAAAATAGCCATATTGTGCTCCGTTGAGAAGGACTGAGAAGTGTACAGTAGTGACACATGACTTAATCCAACTCATCCATTTCTCACAGAAGCCTAGGGAATGCATAACCTGAAACAGAAATTCCCACTCCACTCGGTCATAAGCTTTCTCCATATCGATCTTGAGGGCCATCCATTTATCCTGACCCCGGATCTTGGTCTTGAGGAACTGCATTACTTCTTGGCCAATCAAAATATTATCAGATATACATCGACCTTTCACAAAACCATTTTGAAAAGGACTTATAATCTGAGGGAGAATGGAACTTAGCCTGGCGGATAATATTTTGGCAATGATTTTGTATAAAACCTGGCAGAGCCCAATAGGCCGCATTTGTCTCATGGAGTCCGCATTTGCCACCTTAGGGATGAGAGTAAGCAGAGTGTGATTGACACTATGCAGCAGCCGTTCTGTTTGAAAAAAGGAGAGAAGGGTCTCACATACATCAGCCCCTATCTCTGCCCAGAATCGTTGATAAAAGCCTGCAGTGAACCCGTCTGATCCTGGGGATTGGCCTTGTCCAATGGTAAAGATTGCCTGTCTAATTTCTTCGCGGGTAACCTGCCGAGTAAGCATTGCATTCATAGAATCTGAAACTTTAATGGGGAGATTCAGATTTTGGACAAAAGCAGAAGGATCGACACCATTGGATGAAAATAAACACTCGAAAAAGGATACCGAAATCTCCCCTTTGACTGGCTCCGCCGAGTGAAGTTCACCCTGCTCATCTCGCAGGCGGGCAATGTAGTTAGACCGTCGCCTTTGCATCGTGACCAGGTGGAAAAAGTGAGAATTAGTGTCGCCACCATGCAGCCAACTAGTTCTCGATTTTTGCTCCCAAAATAGTCTTTCCTGATGGTACGCCTCCCCGAGCGAGTTCTCTAGTTGTTTGATGAGTGGCCAATCAGCTGTCGGCGCCTCCCTGGCATTGTCAATCGCCTCCCTGAGCTCTCGAATCTTCCTGGCAGAGTTAGTTGTACCTGCCTTCGCCCAATTCAGAAGCTGGTGGCGAGTCTGTTTCAACTTGGTTTGTACCTTGAACATTGGCGTGCCAGCTGCCGGTAGACTCCATGCCGTATGAACTAAAGCATGAACATCTTCATTGGAGTTCCAGCGGCTGTCATAATGGAACCGCCGAGTGCTCCTAACCTCCGATCCCTCAAATTTGACCAGCACCATTCGATGGTCGGACCCCCGGTCCGATAGATGATGTACCTGGATTTCTGGCCACAAGGAAAGTGAAATGTTATTGCCTAAACAGCGATCAAGTCTAGACTGAATATGGTCACCATTTGATTGGCGATTGGACCATGTAAATGGCGGTCCAATAAAACCTAAGTCTTTGAGTCCCCCTGCATCCAAAAATAGGTTTAGTTGTGCAAGTGCAGTGGAGGTGGGAGGTCTCCCTCCCTGTTTCTCAATGCTGGACAATAAGCAATTAAACTCCCCAAGGACTAGAACTGGATCCTCATACAAAGAAACGAGATAGGAGATTTCATTCAACTGAAATTGACGCGGGGCTACATCACAATGTAAATGAACAAAGACTAAAGCAAATCGCCCAAGAGAAGGGTGCTCACACTCTAAGAACATAAAACCTGATGCCACTACTGAGATAGACACTTGAAGACTCGAAGACCAAGCAATCGCTAACCCACTACCATTATTAGACACACTATGTACACTATCCTCCGGGAAGCCGAAATAGCCAAGGTTTTGAACCACAAAATCATCATCCTTCCTAGTTTCACTTAAGCATACCAGAAGAGGAGACTCCTTAATTAGAACCTCCTTGAGTGCTGGAATTGTCAGGGGAGCCCCCAATCCCCTGCAATTCCATGCTAGGATGCTCATGGATCGGTTTGGGACCGATTAGGGCCGGCTGCCTCCACCTCAGAGTTGTTGATATCCTGTTCCTGGATTTGAGCCTCCAGTCGGGCCTTCTTTGCCTTCTGTACCGGCGAAGCTTGGATGTCTGTGCTTTGGTGCCACCCAGTTCCCAGGGGAATGCTCTCCGGATCCGCTGGCGCGCCTGTGATGCATAGTTGGCCCAGCTTTGATGCCATTCCCACCTGGACAGGGGCATGCAGCAAGGATTCATCGTGGAAAGCTGTCTGAACAGGTCTCTTGGCCAGGCGAGGAGTTGCTTCCTGCCCACCAAGTCGATTTCCAGCCAGAGTCCACACAAAACGCTTGCGACGGCGAGCAAGCGTGCCTTCGTTCACCCTTGGACCGAATTCCCGGGCCACCAGCTCTTTGCCATATCGAGGAGCCAGTCCCGACAGTTCGTCCTTCCGTGGGCAGAACCTGTTGACATGGCCAACCACTCCATAGAGAAAGCAGAATTGAGGAAGCGATTCAAATTTTACCTTCGCTTTGAACTGCCCCTTCGAAGGATCCACATGGGAAGCGGTTACTTCATCAGGCAGAGGATACTGTAGGTCTAGAGTGACCTTCGCCCGGATGT